GGACTATCATTATCAACCTTACATCTTTTGGTATTCACACTATGAATATGTGTAACATTACGCTCGAGATTCATTAAGAATAAACCATTCACCAACGGAGCATGACCATAAAACATATCTCTCATATAAATAGAACAACCATTATTCTCGGATTTAAATGAGTAGCCATCTCGAATTAAACGAGATCCTGATACAATGTTCATGCTCAAAGCTGGCACTAAATAACAATTATTGAGGTTTAAAACTAATCCCGTAGGCAAATGTAGAGGCAGTGTGTTGACGGCGATCACATCGACCTTGGAACCATTCCCGACGCGCATCGTCACCTCGTCCTTCGCCAGTCTCCGTTTATTCCGCAGCTCCTGCTTTGAGTTACAAATGTGAGAAACTGCACCGGTATCAAATACCCAGGAGCTACTACGAGTACTGGTAAGGTACACATCAATTACATGTATATCACATATACCTTTAGTGTTGCCGGCCTTCTTGTCCGCTAAGTATTTTTGCCAGCTCCGCTTCCAGTGACCACTTCCCTTGCAATAAAAACACTCAGTCTCGGGCTTGGGTCCATTCTTTGGCTTCTTCCCGGCAGCTTGCTTACCGGGCGCGGCAACTCCCTTGCCGTCCTTCTTGAAGTTCTTCTTACCCTTGCCTTTCTTGAACTTAGTGGTTTTATTCACCATCAACACTTGATGTTCCTTTTTGATTTCCACCTCCGCTGATTTCAGCATTGAATATACCTCAGGAATGGTCTTTTCCATCCCCTGCATATTGAAGTTCATCACAAAGCTCTTGTAGCTCGGTGGAAGCGACTGAAGGATTCTGTCAATGACCGCGTCATGCGGGAGATTAACTCCCAGCTGAGTCAAGCGGTTGTGCAACCCAGACATTTTGAGTATGTGCTCACTGACAGAACTATTTTCCTCCATCTTACAGCTGAAGAATTTGTCGGAGACTTCATATCTCTCGACCCGGGCATGAGCTTGGAAAACCATTTTCAGCTCTTTGAACATCTCATATGCTCTGTGTCTCTCAAAACGCTTTTGGAGCCCCGGTTCTAAGCTGTAAAGCATGCCGCACTGAATGAGGGAGTAATCATCAGCACGTGACTGCCAAGCGTTCATAACGTCTTGGTTCTCTGGGACAGGTGCGTCACCTAGTGGTGCTTCTAGGACATAATCTTTCTTGGCAGCTATGAGGATGATCCTCAGGTTCCGGACCCAGTCCGTATAGTTGCTGCCATCATCTTTCAGCTTGGTTTTCTCTAGGAATGCGTTGAAGTTGAGGACAACGTGGGCCATTTGATCTACAAGACATATTGTAAAGATTTTAGACTAAGTTCATGATAATTAATTTCATCTAATCAAATTACTCAATGAACTCCCACTCAGATAGACATCCCTCTAGTCATCTAAGTGAAACATGATCCGAGTCAACTAGGCCGTGTCCGATCATCACGTGAGACGGACTAGTCAACATCGATGAACATCTTCATGTTGATCGTATCTTCTATATGACTCATGCTCGACCTTTCGGTCTTCTGTGTTCCGAGGCCATGTCTGTACATGCTAGGCTCGTCAAGTCAACCTAAGTGTATTGCGTGTGTAAATCTGGCTTACACCCGTTGTATTCGAACATTAGAATCTATCACACCCGATCATCACGTGGTGCTTCGAAACAACGAACCTTCGCAACGGTGCACAGTTAGGGGGAACACTTTCTTGAAATTATTACGAGGGATCATCTTGTTTAAGCTACCGTCGTTCTAAGCAAATAAGATGTAAAACATGATAAACATCACATGCAATCAAATAGTGACATGATATGGCCAATATCATTTGCTCCTTTTGATCTCCATCTTCGGGGCTCCATGATCATCGTTGTCACCGGCATGACACCATGATCTCCATCATCATGATCTCCATCATCGTGTCTTCTTGAAGTTGTCTCGTCATCTATTACTTCTACTACTATGGCTAACGCTTTAGCAATAAAGTAAAGTAATTACGTGACGTTTATGTTGACACACAGGTCATAAATAAATAAAGACAACTCCTATGGCTCCTGCCGGTTGTCATACTCATCGACATGCAAGTCGTGATTCCTATTACAAGAACATGATCATCTCATACATCACATATATCATTCATCACATCCTTTGGCCATATCACATCACAAAACACTTGCTGCAAAAACAAGTTAGACGTCCTCTAATTGTTGTTGCAAGTTTTTACGTGGCTGCTATAGGTTTCTAGCAAGAACGTTTCTTACCTACGCCAAGACCACAACGTGAATTGCCAATTTCTATTTACCCTTCATAAGGACCCTGTTCATCGAATCCGATCCGACTAAAGTGGGAGAGACAGACACCCGCCAGCCACCTTATGCAACTAGTGCATGTCAGTCAGTGGAACCAGTCTCACGTAAGCGTACGTGTAAGGTCGGTCCGGGCCGTTTCATCCTACAATGCCGCCGAATCAAGATAAGACTAGTAACAGCAAGATAATTGACAATATCGACGCCCACAACTACTTTGTGTTCTACTCGTGCATAGAAACTATGCATAGACCTAGCTCATGATGCCACTGTTGGGGAACGTAGCAGAATTTTAAATTTTCTACGCATCACCAAGATCAATCTATGGAGTCATCTAGCAACGAGGGAGAGAGGAGTGCATCTACATACCCTTGTAGATCACGCGCGGAAGCGTTCAAGAGAACGGAGTTGATGGAGTCGTACTCGTCGTGATCCAAATCACCGATGACCAAGTGCCGAACGGACAGCACCTCCGCGTTCAACACACGTACGGTTGGAAGACGTCTCCTCCTTCTTGATCTAGCAAGGGGGAAGGAGAGGTTGATGAAGATCCAGCAGCACGACGGCGTGGTGGTGGATGCAGCAGGATCCTGGCAGGGCTTCGCCAAGCGCAAGCGGGGAGGAGAGGTGTTACGGAGGGGGAGGGAGGCGCCAAGAGCAAGGGGTGTGGCTGCCCTCCCTCCCCCCTCTTTATATAGGGGCCTTGGGGGGGCCTAGGAGATGGATCTTCAAGGGGGGTGGCGGCCAAGGGGTGGCTCCCCCCCCCCCAAGCCAAGTGGGGGGCGCCCCCACCCCTAGGGTTTTCCAACCCTAGGCGCAGGGGAGGCCCAAGGGGGGGCGCACCAGCCCACTAGGGGCTGGTTCCCCTCCCAATTCAGCCCATGGGGCCCTCCGGGATAGGTGGCCCCACCCGGTGGACCCCCGGGACCCTTCCGGTGGTCCCGGTACAATATCGGCGACCCCCGAAACCTTCCCGATGGCCAAAACTAGACTTCCTATATATAAATCTTTAGCTCCGGACCATTCTGGAACTCCTCGTGACGTCCAGGATCTCATCCGGGACTCCGAACAACTTTCGAGTTACTGCATACTAATATCTCTACAACCCTAGCGGCACCGAATCTTAAGTGTGTAGACCCTGCGAGTTCGGGAGACATGCAGACATGACCGAGATGACTCTCCGGTCAATAACCAACAGTGGGATCTGGATACCCATGTTGGCTCCCACATGCACCTCAATGATCTCATCAGATGAACCACGATGTCGAGGATTCAATCAATCCGTATACAATTCCTTTTGTCAATCGGTACGTTACTTGCCCGAGATTCGATCGTCGGTATCCCAATACCTCGTTCAATCTCGTTACCGGCAAGTCACTTTACTCGTGCCGTAATGCATGATCCCGTGATCAACCTCTTGGTCACATTGAGCTCATTATGATGATGCATTACCGAGTGGGCCCAGAGATACCTCTCCGTCATACGGAGTGACAAATCCCAATCTCGATTCGTGCCAACCCAACAGACACTTTCGGAGATACCTGTAGTGTACCTTTATAGTCACCCAGTTACGTTGTGACGTTTGGCACACCCAAGGCACTCCTACGGTATCCGGGAGTTGCACAATCTCATGGTCTAAGGAAATGATACTTGACATTCGGAAAAGCTACAGCAAACGAATTACACGATCTTTGAGTTATGCTTAGGATTGGGTCTTGTCCATCACATCATTCTCCTAATGATGTGATCCTGTTATCAATGACATCCAATGTCCATAGTCAGGAAACCATGACTATCTTTTGATCAACGAGCTAGTCAACTAGAGGCTCACTAGGGACGTGTTGTGGTCTATGTATTCACACATGTATTACGATTTCCGGATAACACAATTATAGCATGAACAATAGAAAATTATCATGAACAAAGAAATATAATAATAACCATTTTATTATTGCCTCTAGGGCATATTTCCAACATGGGTCACCGCGGCCCAACTGCTCCCACCTACTACTTAACGGCATCGCTGGGAAGAGAAGGGCATCTAGAGGATCAGGCACCCGACGGCGCAGCTACCTACCCCATTCCCCATCTCGCATGAACCCTAGCCACTATCTTGCAATTGAGTTGTAATCGACACCTAAATTCATATTCCTGTGAAATTGTTGCCAAGTAATTGAGACTAGTTCGTCCCTATCAATTAGATCATCATTGAATATATTTTCATATCATATACTCCTTCTATAAAATAATATATCTAAACGATATTATCTTAGTTTACAGAGGGAGTATATTTATTGTTGTGAACGTTTAGATTGTTTTCTATAAACTTGATCAACCCTTATAAATTTTGACCTAGGTCAAAACTAATACAGGGAGTAAATAAAAACGAAGGGAATACCAGGTTTCATCGTGGGCGGGTTCATGTAGTCTCAGTGGATGCTATTTTTATGAGATCTTACGTGAAGATTCGTGCAAAATTTTTGTTTTTGTTTTTGTTTTTGTTTTTGTTTTTTTACTTGTTACTATGTCATTTGACTTAGACTTGTTAATTGTTAAGCCACACCCAGCCTCATTGTGGTTTAATGACGTACAGGATTACATTACTTTAAATCTTCACCCATTTCCACCTCTTTTTGCCTCGGTCCATCTACTCGTGCAAACCCAAGTACGGAACTGCCGCCTCCATGGATTGGCTCCTGACCACCGGCTTGTCGGCCACCGCCGGCGCGTGGGGCGCCCACGCAGGCCTCGGCGACGAAGTGGGCAGGCTGCGCTCCGTGCTGTCCCGCGTGCACGCGCTCGTCGAGCGAGCGGAGCAGTGGCGGTTCGCCAACCCCGGCGTTGCCGATCTCCTCGCACGGCTCAGGGACGCCGCCTGCGACGCCGAGGACCTCGCGGACGAGCTCGCCACGGACGAGAAGCGGGCGAGCCAGAGCCTCTTCCCATCCGTGCGCGGTTTCCTGCGCGGATTGGTCACCGGCGCGGCGGATAGAGCCAGAGCCGTCAGTCTCGGCTCGAGTACGCGTCCACGGACCTGGAGCGCGCCCTCGCCGTACTGGACGCGGCCGGCAAGGCGACGCCGCGGCGCGCGTTCCGGGAGACGAGCTCGTTCGCCGGGAGGCCCCTGGTTCTTGGCAGAGACCGGGAGCGCGAGGATGTGGTCCGCCTGCTTCTGAATCCAGTCCGTGCCCACGATCCCGGCGGCGGCGGCGGCAGCGCGAAGCGACGGAAGAGCCGTGACGGCGTGGCCGTGTTGGCGATCCTTGGCATGGGCGGCGTGGGGAAGACCACTCTGGCGCAGGTTGTGTACAACGACCAGAGGGTGCAGGACCACTTCGACCTGCGGATGTGGGTTTGCCTGCCGGAATCGCCGGACGTGACACTGGTGACCAAGGTGATCATCGAGTCGGCAACCAAAGGCGCGGCGGCGCAAACCGGCCTTGCCAATTTGGACTCACTTCAGGTGGTTCTCAGAGATTTGGTCAGTTCCAAGAGGTTCCTTCTTGTCCTTGACAATGCCTGGTGTGAGGACAGTGTGGAGTTTCAGACACTCGTGGCACCACTGAAGTTTGGGTATCCTGGAAGTGCCATCTTGGTGACCAGTCGCTCTTGCAAGGTTGCGGATGCCACCGGAGCAGCGGAGCTGTTGTGTCTGAATGGATTGCCGGAGGAGGCTTACTGGGAGCTGTTCAAGCAGTATGTATTCGGCAATGAGGACCCTGCCGGCCATCCTGAATTGGTGGCCATTGGGAAGAAGATTGCCCACAGGCTCAAGGGCTCCCCTCTTGCTGCCAAGACTGTCGGCGTGGCACTGAGCTCTGACATGAGCACAAAGCATTGGAGCATAGTCATGGCAAGTGGGTTGTGGGAGCTTGATCAAGGTGCAGGAGGCATTCTCCCGGCTCTCCGACTGAGTTACCAGTACCTCCCGGCACACCTCAAGCAATGCTTCATATTCTGCGCGATATTTCCGAAGGGGTATATCTTCGGGAAGGACACTCTTATTGACATGTGGATTGCAGAAGGCTTCATCTCACCTCAAGGCGACTTTGGGAGCATATGCTTGAAAGAATTGCTCAGCAGGTCCTTCTTTCAGCAACACATGTTCAGTGACTCCTGTTATGTCATGCATGACCTGATGTCTGATCTTGCACAGTCGCTCTCTATAGATGAATGTTTTTGTCTGACTGATGAAAGATGCCTTCCGAAAATCCCTTCAACCATTCGCCATCTGTCAGTGTGCACCAAACATCTTGAACTGAGCAAGTTTCTTGAACTGGGTAGATACACAAAGCTGCGGTCACTTTTGATTCTCGGTATGTCTGGGCAAGATTTGAGTTGCTCACTTGACATTTTGTTTGATAAACTGAGTAATATCCGCGTGCTGGTGCTACGGGGGTGTGCGGTCAAAGAGCTCCCTAGGAATATTGGCAATTTGAAACTTCTCCGGTATATCGATATCTCTTACACAAAGATCCAATGTTTGCCTGACTCCATTTGCCAACTAAACAATTTGCAAATTCTGAATGTACTGAACGTCCCTCTGAAGAACCATCCCAAAGGTTTGACTAGATTAGTCAATCTGAGGAAATGTTACGTGAATGAACCGATTACTTCGGTGATGAGCAATATAAGCAATTTGACATCACTCGAGAACTCGTTGGTATTTGAAATTCCGAAAGGACAAGGGCACAGAATCGCCGAACTGAAGGACATGACACAGCTGACTGAAACTTTACATGTTACGAATCTTGAGAATGTTGTGAAGGATGATGCTTTAAAAGCCAAGATGAGCACAAAGGCGCACCTACAACGGTTGATTCTGGAATGGTCTTCAAGCAAAACTGGTAATGCGGAAGTCAGCAATGCCAAGTATTCACAAGAAAGCATTATTGTTGAATCATTTGAGCCCCATCCCAACCTTGAGAGTTTGAAATTGAAGCACTACAGTGGCATCCCAACACCATCTTGGTTGCAGGCTGGAAAACTTTGCTGTTTGTGCGAGCTCAGTCTCTCCAACTGCCATTTCCTAACTGAAGTCACCAGCCTCCCTTCTTCCCTCAGGAGGTTGCACATCATACGGTGCAGAAACCTCAGGAGTCTCGATGAGTGTCTACAGGCACAGAGCTTGCAGGGAATCACCGAAATAACTGTTATGAACTGCTCAAAACTAGCATTGCTCCCTGTGGAAAGATTTCGGGGCTTTGCTTCTCTTCGCGTATTGGAAATTCAAAATTGTCCAGAGCTTCCACCCACAAGGAAACTGACCCTGCCGCCATCAATGGTGGAGTTGCTTATGAGATCATGCGGCCATGTCGATGCATCACTTCCATCCTGCTTGCACAACCTGCCTTCACTTGTAAGCTTGATTATATACAACTGTCCTAACTTACTATCCCTTCCAGCAGAAATAGTTTCGCAGCTGCGATCACTCCGAGGGATGTATGTCGATAACTGCAGCAGCCTGCGATCCTTGGGTGGACTGCACCACCTTTCGTCACTCATCAACCTGCATATTGTGAACTGCCCTAGGTTGACAGACCTTGATCCCTTGATGTTTCTGGACGTCGGCGAAGGCCAGGGTTACAGAAGCTGGAGTGCCTGACCATCAGTAGCACCTCTCTGCTCAGCATGATGATGAGAAGCACATTACCTGCCCTTAAGACCGTTGTCCTCTACCAGTCCACCGACTCATTGGTTGTTCATGGTCCTCACAACAAGAAGCTGTGTTGGTGCTTTCCAGCGGTGCAAGAGCTGTTGTTTCAGGACTGTGGGAATCTTGTTGCACTCCCTGAAGAGCTGTGCACTTTGTCGACTCTCCAGTTCCTGCGGATATTCAACTGTCCGAAGATTTGGTCGTTGCCACATACGGGCTTGCCGGTCTCCCTGAGGACATTGTCCTTCGAGAAGTGCCACCCGGTGCTGGAGGAGCAGTTAAAGAAGCTCAAGTTTTCTTACAATACGGCGTAGTCTCTGCGACTCCGAATTCAGATCGAACATCAGCTTGTGTTGTCTGCAGCTTACTGAGTTAAGCTTGCAGCTTTGAGACACTGTAACCATACTATTTGTGGAACTTCTTCAGCTTGTGCTCTACAAATCTGCATACAGATAACTGCATCGTCTTCCAGGCTGTGGCACAGCTTAACCATAATCTTTTGATGAAGCCTTGCTCTTGCCAGTTCCTCTGTGCTAGTAATCTGAATACAGATCAATGCTGCAGTTTTTTTTCCTGAGCTTACGCCCAGTTTGCACAATGCATCAGCTTTACATTACATTTGTTGACAGTGTAACCGTGCTGCAGTCTTGCCAATACCATCTGGATATTTGGTCTGCCTCAGGAGCTCAAATAGCAGTAAGCGTTTTGGAATTTATCTGAATACTGGTACTGCCAAAATACACACCAACTTGTTTTTTCGAGAGAATGTACACAGCAACTTGGCAAGCCAGGCAAACTCGAGCGAAGTGACTGCCTGCCTGCCTACAAGGCCAAGCGTGGGCCGCTCCTCTCCTTCCCTTGCCCGCCTTGCTGTTGCGATTGCCGCCACAAATCGAGTGGCGGTTAAAAAAGCAGAGGAGAAGAAAGGGAAATCCTACCCTCCGTCGCAGCGAAAGGCTCCGGTCTGCTGCACGCAGCGCCAGCGAGCGAACCTGCAGCTCCATGACGATGGCCGCGCGGCCGATCCCCTCCTCCCCCGCCACCGTCTCCCTGCCCGCCCCGCTCCTCTTTCTCCCGCCGATTTCTCGGAAGCCGTCGGCCTCCTTATCCTGCAGCAGCAGAGCACGCCGCGGCGCCCGGTGCTCCGCCGCGAACAAGCCCTCCTCACCCCCTTCCGCCGCTCCGGGCAACGAGGTAAGGTAGCCGCCCCGTCGTCTTTCTTCTTGTCTGTGCTTGGCTCGGCTCTGGGCCCGTCGTTCATGGCCTCGTTCGACTCTCGCAGCGGCGGCAGCAGCAGCTCCATGGCCAAGATAAGGAGCGAGGTGCTGTCCCCGTTCCGGTCGGTGCGCATGTTCTTCTACCTCGCCTTCATGGCCAGCGCGGGCCTGGGTAGCCTCATCGCGCTCACGCAGCTCCTCCCGGCGCTGGGGAACCCCGCGAGGGCGGCGGGCGTCCCGGAGACGCTCAAGGGCCTGGGCATCGACGTGGCGGCGGTGGCCGTCTTCGCGTTCCTCTACTCGCGCGACCGCAAGGCCAGCGACGCGCAGGTGGCCAGGCTGACGCGGGAGGAGAACCTGTCGAGGCTCAAGCTCCGCGTCGGCGACGGCGGCCGGGTGGTGCCGCTGAGCGAGCTGCGGGGCAGCGCGCGGCTCGTCATCGTCGCCGGCCCCGCCGAGTTCGTCGCCGAGTCGTTCCGCCGGAGCAGGCCGTTCCTCAGGGACCTCATGGAGAGGGGCGTGCTGGTGCTGCCCTTCCCCACGGACGGCAACGCGCCGGCGCTGGAGTTCGGCGAGGACGGCGACGGCGGGGAGGCGGAGGCGGAGGACGAGGAGGTCGTCAGGAAGAGCAGGAGGCTCTGGCAGCTCTCGCCGGTGTACACCTCCGAGTGGGCAAAGTACGAGACCACGAAGAATCTACTCTCTTGCTCCCACACGAAGGATTGACAATGGCGAATCTCGTCGTGCTGATTGATACTCTGTTACTTGTTGCAGATGGTTGGCTGAGCAGAAGAAGATGGCGAATGTGACGCCTGATTCCCCTGTGTGAGTAGCACTGAAATTAGTTCGTCTGAACATTTCGCTGAAGCTTTCAGCTGTTCGGGCTGTTGAATTCTCGTAATCGAATTTTTCTTTCTCGCCGACGGATGTTGTGCGCAGGTACCTGTCGCTGAGGATGGACGGCCGCGTCCGGGGCAGCGGCGTCGGCTATCCTCCATGGCAAGCGTTCGTGGCGCAGCTGCCGCAGGTCAAAGGGATGTGGTCGGGACTTTTTGATGGAATGGACGGGAGAGTGTAGGTTCTTTTCGGGCTTTTTTTTATCGTGCTCTGTCTTCTGAAATTCGTGTGGTTTTGCAAGCTTGCATGCTACACACATGTAAAGCAGGCAAGGGCATGTCTGAATTGATTAGTTCATGCGCAACTGTCACGATGACAAAAGATGTAAGGTTGACTCTTTTTAAAGATCAGTTTGACTGACTAGTTCTTAGCAAAGCGTAAGATTTGCCTCATCTGATCAAACATCATAAACGAAAATGTGACCACCTAATCGACACCTTAAGGGCCTCTTTGATTCAAATAATTTCTCAAGGAAATTTGGAGGATTCTAAACCTTAGGATTTTCCGCTGCATAGGTTGTTTGGTTCGTTGGATTATAATTCCATAGAAAACTTTCCTTAGGTTATAGAAAAACTTTCGTCCACTCCAACTTAATCTTAAGGGCATGTACAATGGTGGTATATGGATACATATGCGCCATGACAAAAAGTAATTTGAAGCATCTACATTAATTTTCTCTCTCCAATGCAAGCTATCACTAGTGGACCTCATTAAGAAATAGAAAATAAAGACTCTAGTACACATACATCTCTATTTTTCATTTCAACCTTTTTAGCTTTTGTCACTGGACCACACGTTTTCTCTTCAAGCACCCGTCTCCTGGAGAGGATCATGTTTCCCTATCCGAACCTACTTTACGTCATATCCGATCCTACATGGCATGCGAGGCATCACCTTGAGGCTATGCATTGTACGTGCCCTAAGAGCATCTCCACCCAGCCCCCCTCCCCCCAAGGCCTTTTCTAGCATCGCCAGTAAAAGATTACTCCAGTCACGCCCCTACCACCTTGTTTTGCGCCGGATTTGGGCAGAGTTACATCCGGCGATCCCAACCCAAACCCAGGGAGCCGGGGGTCCGACGGAGGCGTCGGCGCTATTATTTACATGCAGCAGGCCCACTATCAGCCTCCCACTCCATCTCGCCTCTCTCTCTATCTCTCTTGCATGCAACAGGCCCACCCACGTGCATGCCTTCAGCTCTCCCACACTCCATCTTTTTCCTCTCATCTCTATTGTCCTTCATTGTTGGATGGGGGCACTGCTGGGAAACTC